AAGTCTCCTTTTTTTTTTTCTCCTCTCCCCTTTGATTTTCCTTTCTCCACAAACTGAAGGGCACTTCACCACGGCCCTGCAAAATATGGTGCACTGCACCACAGGGGATAGGGATTGCGGGTGGTGGTGCAGTGCTGCATGTGATGATGATATCAAGAAGGCAACACGCAAAAACAGTGAGCTGCAAAAATACCCTCTTTTGTCGCTTAGCAAAACTTTTTTTAACTGTAGTTAAGGGAGTGAGGTTAGCGCGTCGTTGTTATTTGTTACAGTTTAACCCCAAAACAAGAAATTGATGGTGAGCTTACCAAACTCGAGATAAAAAGCAGGTTCGTTTCAATTGGTTCGATTTCAACGGTGGTGAGAGACACGTGTGTCGCACGCGCGCCGGAGCCTTTTTGTCTTGGTCTTGCAGAGATTATTTAACGTTGGTTTTCATTCTTAAATAAACGTCGTTTTGCGCTAATGAGAATGAGAAGACGAATGAGGTATGGGAACAGAATCAATTGGGTCCGCAAACAGGGGCGAAGCCAGCCTCAAATTTCACCGGGGTCGTCAATATTTTTTAGCGGGGTCATTAACCTAGTAAACAGTGTTTGAACAGTATTTTATACTAAAAATTTTGAAATCTATAGGGGTCAGCTGACCCCTACATTAGCATGTAGCTTCGCCACTGTCCGCAAAAAGGACCGATGTGTCCTTTTCGTTTTATTATTATGTGACATTGTGATGTGTTTAGTCGTACGTTGTGGCCGATGAAAGTGGCAGGGACTATTCTGTCTTTTTTGTTTGCTAATTAAAAGGTGTGTTATAATTATAATGTTATTAACATGGTTTTGAAAACTAGACTGCTGGTCTATTTGTCGGATAACCAATTAAACTGGAATTTAAAATATTAATATTTTTAAGATAGATATTTTATATGACATAGAAAATAGATATAAGAAACACAATTAATATACTACAAATGTATTATTGTCTCAAAATTGTAATAACTAAATTTCCTTAATTTTTTTTTTTTTTTTTTT